GTACCAACCCTCCAAAAAAAGAGGGGGGGGTCGCACGGACCCGTCAAAAATTTTCAACCAATGATGTGTCCTGTTCCGCCGCAAAAATGAAACACTTCACCTCATGTTTCCTTAGCACCTTACTTCTTTTCACTGCCTTGCAGAGCCATCGTGGAAAGTGAAAATCCACGTTATCGTGGAAAAGTGGAAAATGTTATCGTGGAAAGTGCCTTTGAACAGAAGCTTGTCACCCGCCTGGTGTCCATAGGAAAAATGCCACATCAATCGGGCGGAATCACTTGGACCATTGTACGTTCCACACTGGTGCACTCTCCTCTCGTTACTGGTGAAGGAAGGACCCATCAAAGGCATAGGGCACAATAATTTGGTGATTGCTCAGAAATAGTCGGAGGGGTGCTATATAGCGAAGAAAAGGACAAAAATAAAGCGAAAGGGCCGAAAACTTGCGAAAAAGCCTTTTTTGCACAGCGTTAAACGAACACTTTTGGATGAGTTTCCCGTTGGCATCGTGCCAGAAACCTTTTAGATCGACTGCACTTATCTATTCAAATATCCATGAAGCAACGCTTCATATCCGCTGTACTTCATGAATTAAGCGATAAGAGTACCAGGGTCGTTGTGACTGTGCAGACATTTGTGGGCGTGCGGTTGCGTTAGGCGTCTGGGTCAGCATGTTGTGCCTTGGTTGGCGGTTTTAATAGTGCTGGAAAAGGCGCTACGCACCGCTTGCTAAGGGGCACGATATTCTTTTGTGCTAAGCGTATCGAACTTCTACGCGTTGTTGATTTATCTGCCACTTGCCTTTCGCAAGGATCCAAGTGACTTCGCATGCGGTATCGGCGAGAAATGTGCTTTTAACAGTTCTCTGATCTGACGTCTTAAGGTTACTCGTCACAACGATTCTTGTATAAATCAAGTAAATCGATATCCTTTTTTGGGGAATTTATGACTTATCAAATAGGAATTGTTTCGGAATTGGCCTTTTCCATTCTCATTCATCATTGGTAGAGGTTTCGTTGAGAAACAGGACAGGTTCTTCCCGATTGTTCACGAAACGCTGGATGCCCAAAGAAATGTCTTTAGCGATCATTTCCCAACTTTCACAGCGGTAAAAAATATTTTTCACTTCAAAACTCCATGTGGAAGATGACGAGTTTTGCTAGTGATTTTTATACTGCCTGATAGAAAATTTCATAATTCATAAGATATCTTGTTAAGTTTTTTTATACTGGTTGGATTCACCACATTCTTAAGTCATAAAAATGGAGCGCTCAGTCGACAAGAATCTCTTTTCCATGACAAGGTTTTGTGCTTAGTCGAAGCGCTAAAGCTCCACAAGCTTCTGGAAAGAAGTGAAATTGTGGTGTAGGCCGAGTCAGAGTTGTAATTGCTATACAATCTCGAATGCAAGTAAAATATGTGGCGCGTTCCAAGAAGGGATTTAGGATATCTCAGGGATCAATCTCAAGCGCTTTATTCCCTGTACTCTTGGTCAAATCTAAGATAAACTCAGCCCTAATCCAGATAGGAAGCTCGTCCTCTGAATAAAAAGGCTCGGACGGCATATCGGATCACGCCATGCATGTCTTCTAATGCGTGAATTGCAAACTAGTAGCTGAAAGCATGCATATATACGGCCTAATTCTTGGTTTTATTGAACGTTCTATGGCAATTGTTCTGTCGATAGGGCACGCCATGGCGACAGTTGAAACTGGTCGGTCACTCATCCCGAACCGCCTCCGATATGACCCTTCAGAAGCTACAAAGCAAACCTCACCACCCTACTCCTCACTACCCTTACTTCCATTTACCTCCAAAAGCTGTAGATTTGTCAACTGTTTCCGGTCAAAATTTGTGCACTCTTTCATGTTGCGTATTCCGCCATCGAGTTTTGCGAGGGAAAAATGTAGCGCAGACCACAATGGACAACCAAGTAGCTTCGTGTAAGAAACTTGTAAGGTAGGGGCGTTCAAGTGTAAGGCTGCTCAAGTAATGCCATCAGGAATTTGGTGACTCATCCCCATATCGCATCATCTTGCTCGTTTGCCTGCTCTCTCGCTGCTCTTATCTAATCTCTCGCCCAAAATCCCAACAAATCTTTGTCTTTCGCTTCGAACAAAGAGGGTCTTATTATGGGCGTCTTGACTTTTTTGTGTTCTTTTTTCACAATCAAGTCAACTGCATACACAAACCCATGCTCAGAGCGGCTTCTTACAATTTCGACAGCTTACTCGATCCTTTAAAACGTACCCCTCTTGGCAAGTCAGACATGGTCCTTTGCCAGCGACCCAAACATGACCCTCCTGTTGGGAACCTTTCAGCACTCATTTTCCTTATCTGTTGGACCCTGTCAACACTTTCATGGATAGTAGCTTCAAAGCAAGTATTAGATTACTTCCTCCATTTCTCTGAGTTGATCAAAAAATCGATATATCGATCGCGTCTTTGTTACGTTTCCGTGCGTACAAAACTATAGGTTCAGTGTAGGATTAATTTCTTTACTTCAGAGCAGGATGCCTGGCACTCGACTTCTGAAACGTGACTGGGAAAAGGACCACGTCTATTTGGTCCAATTTCCACGGGCTGGTTGTATACCATCACCATCGCCGTTTGCACTCAAAGTCGAAACATGGCTACGAATGGCCGAGGTCCCCTATTCAGTAAGTCAGTTTACTAGAGCAAGAGGGTATAAATCACACTTCAGTCCGAGAACTCACTCTTTTTTTGTGCCTAGACTACCTAACAGCCCGTTCTAAGGGCTCCAAAAGACAGTACCACTACACTGAGTGCAATTGCATAGAAGTTCTGGATGCCAGAAGGCTGTCTCTACGTCAGGCACACCTTGTCCCGGCCCAGCAGGCCAAACGTCCCAGATCCGGTTTCTCATCTAAACATGAGGTTGCAGCTGGGTCATATAATCATCCTCTAACCTTGGCCACTCAGAAACTTTCAGCGTTGCTTGTTTCAGAGACGATAATAGAAGCTCCGAGCCAACCGGTATCATACGTGCATGTCTGAGTGTAACAAGAGGCGTGGCTACGGAAGCAGCGATCCGCTAAAGCCTGCGGATGTCTTATCGAGCATAAGGGAGGGGTTTGGGCGTAGTCAGCCCGTTTCATCAGTTGTTGAAGAGGGTTAGCGAAAGCGATTGCTGGAAAACAAGATGGCCCCACGGCAAACTCGGTCCCTCTTTGGCACTCCTCAGCATCGGCAAAGGGGGGGGGGAGTGAGGGAGAATAGGAGGAGGGGGAGATGGCAAAAAGTCACCGACCATAAGGACGAATACCTCGTGAAGTAAATGACTCAGCTGTTGTTTTTATGATAAGTTTAGATTTGTGGTCAATACTATTTCCTCAACCTGAAGGCAGTGGGCACGATGTTGGAGGCGGACGGTTGTCGCCAGCGTGATTGGTGGAAGGTCTGCAAGAGGGCGTTGTCGCCAGCATGATTGGTGGAAGGTCTGCAAGAGAGCGTTTGGCCTTACCTCCCTCCCCCCCCCTCTTTAGCCCTTCCACCAATGATCATGACGACAACCCCCACCCCCAGCCATGGTACCTACTGCCATTAATAGAGTCGTTATCACTGAAGTCGGACGGGGATGTCAGAGAGGTATGGGTTTTGCTAAGAATAAGATAGGACACCAGCCCGTTTTCTATCGCTCGTTGCGGCTTCGGGCGATCGTGAAAAGGATGCTGATCTGGCGCCAAAGAGGCTCCGATTAATTTCAGCGATTAGTTAGGCTTGGTGGGTGCAATTTGTAGAGTCCCTTTGGTCACTCCAGTTCCCATCCCCCGTGGACACCTGTAAATACTTATAAGGCCATGGAGTAGCAAGAGCTTCGTTTGACCTTGATACAAGTCTACAAGTCTCGACACGGTGAGAAGTAGCAAATTAAGTCAACGATCAACAAAAATGCCCCTCCCAAGCCTAACTGATTCCAGTGATAAGACGGCGCATACTACGGAGCTGATTTTTCCCCATATATCCTTTCCACTTTTGAG